TCAATTACTCGTTTATAACGATTAAGTTACATAATAACATTTGCACTTGTATATTTTAATTACCAATTAATTTCGCTGCTCCTGGTGAGTTGTACTTCTAACGGCATTGAACAATGCACTTCATTAACGATGTATATTTCAGTTCATCAGTAGTCTCCAAATGCAACATTTTTTCAGCCTGGTCATTTCATGTCAATGATGAAGGTCGGAGGAATGACATAGATAGACACAATTGGAAGTCGAAAACAGTAAGCTAATCTCATTTCTCTCGTTGAACACTGCGTGGCGACACCTTCTCATTAGCCAGTCAGGTGCCGAATAGTAGGACATAAAGCACATTGAAACACCAACTAAAAACCGGTTTTATAGTGAATCGGTATAATCCATAAAATCAAGGAAGGCAAGAAGATAACTGTAACATCTTTCTCAACTAATTTGAGGAATCTGACCACAAGTTCATTATTTTGTCGATATATTGACTTGCATAATGTAATTGCTATTACTTATGACGTATGTAAAAAACTGTGTGTCACGGTCCAACACAACCTACACCATCACTATATCATTAAATTAATTATTGAGCAGTAAAGAGATTTTAATGTAACCACTCGGCTAAGCATGAACATATTAATTTGGGTTGTGATTTTGGCATATCCGTATTTAATTTTGAGTTAATTTGTTATAAGTTATGAATAATGGCGTGTTATAAACTGATGAGGTTGAAATATTATTTCTATAAAATAATGAATAAATTAAAGTTTTGTAATGCTACATTACTTCAAGTTAATTGGGTTCATATTTTTCAAAGTAACTGCAGTCATTTACTCGACTTGATTGATTGCCTTTTTTCTAATTGATGACCGTTTAATCACGCAACTTGAATACATACTTGAATACTTAATAATACATTGCCCCCAAATTCAGCTTATGGGAGAAAACGTTTCTGGAACTTGTATTTGTCAGTATTTGATTTTTTCTTGATGCTTAATACTACTGATACTAAGATGTTAAAGTCATAAACAAGTGCTGCGAGATGGCTACCAAACTCATTCGAGTAAAATTACATATATTTTACTATGGAAGCGAACAGGATTTATCCAGTCTTAAAGGATGTTTACTCATGCTCTGATATTATGAGATTTGCAAAATGAATTTGAGTATAATCCAAATATAGAATTGTTAACGAAACAATATTGCTGTTCACTTGTTGGAAGAACAGAAATAAAATGTAAAACCTACATTATAGCCAAGAAAGCTCTGACCCCTTGATCAAACATCAGATAAAACCAAAGGTAAAGTGAGATCGAATCATCAACAGTATCTAAACACAACTGCAAGAAACAAAACAACTCGGAGTGCATTTTGTTGTTTATTGGTCTATACTGTACTGCAGTTCAATTAAGAATAATAAATATATCGATATACTTGAGAAAAAAGTGTATTATCGAGGATACAACTACTCTTAACCTTTGCATAAACTAGTTAAAGTGAAATAAGAAATATGAATGGAATTTTAATATAAAAAGGTTACAATAATGTTAGAGTTTAATAAAGGAATATTTGCTTTGGCATAACATGGACTATCTATAACTATAACCGGCTGTTATGATTGCATTTAAAAAACAGTTTTCTGACGATATTGATATCGAAATAGAATATATGCATTGCTTTTTAATGCTGTGATGTATTTAGGTTAGTCATCCACAGGATAATTTTGTTCATTATAAAACTGAAATATGCATTGCTTTCTGATAATATAATAATCTTTATGATTAAACCAATGCGAATGAATGCGAATATGCAACTATTTTCAAAGCCGCATCAAGTGATCTTGAATTCACAACCTTATATCTTTCTCTAAAGATGAAACTTTAATCTAAAAATATAGTAATTCGTGGAATTCACATAAAGTCACAAATATTTGACATTCAGAGCTATTTTACTATTAAAAAAAAAATTCAATCAAATTTCGCTGTATGGCGTAACAACTTCAGATAATTTGCCGAAAAGTTTCAATGAATATTGATTTTATGTCTGAAAACACTGTACACCACTTCATATTGCGTCAAACAAAAATGTCCAAAGAAACCGAACCATGCTAGAAATCTTAATTGTAAGTTTCAATAATATTTCATTAGACTATAACAGATACAGTCGTAACTTTTGATGTGTGTTTTTTATGTGGTTGGAGTATGGACCATCAAACCCTGGAGGTTATAGAGAGGAGTTTTATCTGGGCTCATAGTAGGTTTGCAAACGGAGGCTAGATTGTTTAGATGGAATTAATTTAATAATTATATATTAATACATAATAATGACCTATCAAACTGTATAGAGAAAATTCGTCATGTTTAATCTTAATGCCGTGAATTTGAATCAGTTTTCGAATTGGATGAAATTTAATAATTTCCATGCTAAAATATTTATGGATAAAAGTTACGACCTTTCTATTGAATATTTCCAAATAGACCCAAAAAATGAAACTGTCTACAACCTCCAACCTTTGATTTCATAAAAATATCATTAAGGAATAATATAATGAAAATCAATTTATTTATCAAATATTATATCCCAGACTTAGACTATGGCCACTAATTTTAATTAGTAAATGTTCGAAACTTGTATTTCACAAATATTGTACAACAATCGTTAAATGAGAAATTGACCAAAATATGATACAAGTTCGTTCTCAAATTTCATATTCTATCAAACGATTCTTCGGTATTCTGGAAGGCGTATAGCTAACTCATTGTAAAGGGAAAGTCAGACTTAATAACGTAATAGCTAGTGACTCATATTTAACTTTATTTATATTATATTATTATAAAAATAGAACTCATATATCACTTTTTACTTTATTATAGGCAATGGTTACGAAATGAATAATGATTCCAATGTCTTATAAAATAAAACACTGTTTTTTGTTTATTAACATTCTTAATCCTTAATACCCCTACTGCACCAAGCATTATTGTGGTCGATTTTTGCCAAAAGGTCTGGAACCAGTGAGCGCCGTCGACCACTTTAGGCCTATATTTTGATCGTCGAGAATCACCTCCTGTAATCCTCGTTTTTACCCGAATACGTGCATGTGGGAATGGGGGACGAATAACGGAGTTCTTCGGAGTGATCGACACGCAATACGCGTACTCGAAGGTACTAGCTTCCGATACCCACCGTTCTTCGCAAGAGTAGCTGGGTGTAGGTGTAAGCAGCCACAGGAAGCCAAAAGTAAACGTTTTAAGCAAAAGCTCAAGATTACGGACGAGACAGGAGACCTTTAAACGACCAAGACCGTCATGGATCTGACAGTTTGGATCGCCTACTGTTTTTCAACATGTCTAAAAACAGTAGACAATCACCTTTTCAGTACCTGACCCTCTGAAAACTGAAACGATTGCGCCAGATCTTTCCGCGGGGGAATAAGGTAGTGTTCGATAGCGAAAAAAAAAAACAACAACCGATCGAACCAAAAAAAATGATTGGGTGATATCGGGATCAAAACAATTCTTAATTAATGATTGCCTATCTGACAGACGTTAGATATTAATCCGTTTTATACAAGATCCTCTACGTGTCTTAATCTTCGTGTAGAAATATTTGTGTTTGTAAAACCAAATTGAATGCTCATGTTAGAGCAGTAATGACCGTTATACTATGTTCAATAACTTTAACCTTAAAGCAACGGCCCTATAAGCAAATAGAACGAGTGTTTGCAACTTGTTGCAGATGTTACAAATACACATGTATACTCCAATAAAATGAGCATTTCGTAGCAGCAAATTTGTTGAAATCACCACTGAGTAGTCATTACTACATTTCATCAGAAGTTTAGAATTTATTGAACCCGAATGACTTGCTATGTTTCGTCTAATATCATAAAGACAATTACGTTGACACCGTTTATAAGAAATATTGTCAACTTCACACTTGTAATAATTCAGTTAATCATCAAAGCAATACCAATGTTCATTCAAATTTGTTGAAACATCAATTATTCATCAAAACTGACGAATAAATGATTACATAACATTACATCAATATTGTTTATACATTTGGTAATATTTTCGATACTGCTGGCAATTACTTGCACCTGTTTTAGATGTTCAGTCTTCGGGGCATTTACAAATGTAGAAATCATCAAAATATGTGCCCTGAGTTAGAAAAAAAACTTTTGGTGCCAATAATGAAATCTCACACTTTCAAGAATTCTATTTACTTTATTTTCATTTCATAGTTCTTGTATTTATGACAGAACACTGTCCAAAATTTCTTTCTTATTATATGATTGTTGTAAAATAACGTTTGATTATGATGCTTGTGCACATTCGTATTTAGCTAACACACTATTATGTATTTCGTAGTTAATGAAATCGATATTTAATAAGATATTTCTGGTGATATTTTGTTTGATATAAGATAATAATTCATATTTACCTTTTCCTTACTTGACTAATCTTAATTATAACTTTGAATTATATATATAAAAACAATGGATTTGAGTGAAATAGAAAATCCGTTTTCAACCCTTACCCTTCTAATTTGGGATCAATATAGTCTCAATTTAGAATTTCAACTGAAATGGATTGTTTATCTACTTCCTACTTATTAATCATCTATCAGGTTGTACTGTAGACACATCAGAAATAGACAGAATAGAACTGTTAATGTCAAGAAAACTGTTTGAAGATTTTAAATCCCATAGTTTGGTAGGAATGATCTCGGTCATCTTCGAAATTCATATTTCCCTTCCCAACCGCTCGTATCTAGAAGATGGAAGATGGATGCCTACAAACTTTGACACGGTTTTAATTGAGGGTTGTCAGCATTATTAAAAAAACAGTATCTGAGTGAGACATATACAAGCTTTAAGCTGTCATCGACATTGCGTGGGATTTCTCGCTCTTATCATAGTTATTCTGCAAGTAAAGTAAAGATTTATAAAAAGATATTATATCTAATTTGTCTTTTCAGTATTTGGTGCTCATATTGATGATGTTTCAAAATTACACGAAGATTTATTTAGAAGATATAAAAGTGTTATTCCACCGGTTTATAATCAATCAAAGGCTGTCACTGTCAAAATTAAAATGTTTTTGTTGATGATACACGATTTGGTAAGTATTATGAATATAATCAATGATAATGATAATAAATTTCAGTTAGTAGGCAATTGACTGTTATTGGTGTCCTTACTATCAAGTACGAGGAATTATGTCACGT